GCACAGTTGACTATAAAAGGGTGCATTCCACACAACCCTGATATTAAGATTTATCTAATGAGATAGAAAGTAAATAAATTACTAATCAAATAAGGCATGTTTTTCTGTTTTCCTGAGAGAAGTCTATGTTGTTCTGTAAAAGATGATCTGTTGTAGAAAAATGAGCCCTGCTGAAAGCTCAAAGCAATAGATGTTGGCTTGCCCCCCCTTTTTTTTCCTTAGGTAGAAATTCATGTTGCATATATATTATATCATTTACCAGTACTTTTTATGTATTTGGGAAAAGGGCAGAAGCATGAGATAGTGCTCAGCTTACCATGTTTCCAGTTTATGAATTGTTGTTACATCCCAAACCAGTAAACACTTCTGCATGTGCTTAGCTTTGTGTATGAATAGTTCCACTGAAGCCACTGTATAAAGGAACAGATTATTTATCCTTCCTAATTCAGAAATTTTTGGGAGTATCCATGTACCTATTTCCTGATCAGGATATGAGAGGTACAGCATCTCCCTAAATGATATAATGAAGAGCAGTAACAAGCAATTTTCCTAATAAGTTATAAAGTAGTCTTCAGCAATTATAAGTGCTTTGTCAAAAACTTCTTTTTTTTTTTGTCAAAGACTGTTGATAAGAATATTATTAACTGATAAAGTTTCTCACTTACCCTGGAGGAAGATATTTTGTTAGGGTTTAAAATTAAGATAAAAAAATAATACCTGAAAAATCTGCGCAGGTCAGAGTTAAGGTTGTTGTGTCACAATCCCTTTATACAAGCTCAAAATTCCTTTTATATGCAAGAGAAGAATGATTTTTTGAAGTATTAGAAACTCTGCAAAAATAATGGATGCATCATTTCTCATCTGGACCCTGGGATTGGAACTGACACAATTCTAATCTAATCTAAAGAAAAAGCAAGAGCCGTTTTATATTACCATAAAACTGAAGACATCAAAGTAATGGCCCCCTGAGAAATCTAGTCTTATGTTTCAGTACTGTTTTTTCATTTGAGTCAATCTAACCTTACCGAAGCAGCCTGTTTCTCAGCTCCTTCAACCTATAAATCATACACATCTCTTCTCAGAAATGTGTGCATTTAAGTGAACTGAAAATAAATGAGAAGACAATTCAGCTTTCAACTGTATATTACTTATTGAAATTCAGATTCTAGCCTTAACCACAAGACTGTGCATATTGTAGCATTGGAAATTCTTACTCCTGGGATCAAACAGTTAAGGCCAGAATGAAGAGAAGGTTTGCTGAAATTGTGACAGACGGTTGCTGGTAGTTTGTCCACAAAGAGTCTCTGTTGAATTCCGGAATAAATGGTCTACTGGGACACAGCCAATTAACGTCCCTGATTGTTTTAGCACATAGATAAGTGGAGGAACTCAATACTAGCTGCTCTTCAAGCCAATGTTTGGAAAAGAACTGTATCAGGCTATCATGAAAAGTATTTCAACCTTTTCTGTACAGAGGATTTATTTAAATAAGAAATACAGTTCCCATGGAGTCTGACTTGTAACTGAAGCTCTCAAATTCTCCTGAAAGTCAAAATGGAGTCATATTCTAAACATGAAATGTGTACGTGTAACCCTGTAATGCATACCCAGAGAGTGTGTATTGGTAGAGCAAAAAGCAAATGGTTCTTGTGTATTAATATCAAATTAATTTGCATTTATGCAGCACCGTTCATCACACCTCCAAAGCACTTTACCTAACTCTGACAAGATCCCACTGTGAGGTGGTGAAATATTATAATGGCAGTTTCCCAGGTGGGTTAGATGAAGTTCAGTTGACTGGCATGTGAAAACAAATACTGAGTAGTCTCAGCACCTTGCTGTAATCAGCCTTGAATGCAAAGTAATACTGATCACACTTTTTTTCAGATCAGGAATATGTAAGGTCCATATTTATTTCTGTGGATTTATGACCATAAAACCATTATGATCTTTAGGATTTTAAAGGTGCCTGAAGTTGGAACAATGTCACAACCACAGTAGGATTAAGATGAATTTTCAGATTTTAATTTTAAGATTAATCTAATTTTTGTGGTCACTGACAAGACAAATCTCTATCATGAATGGATACTTTTCTGATTATCTCAGGGTATAGATGTGGGGTGGAAATAATACTAGTCTAAGTATGTTTGCTTTGTACATCTACAGTGCATCTTGTACATACATTAGTGCATCTTGTAAGTTTATTGTTAATTCAAGATTTTGTGATGTTGCATCAACTGATCAAAGCAAAATTTTCTCCTCTTCCTCTGAAACCTTTCTCTCCTAAATTAGGTCCACAGTAATAGGCAGGGTATAAAACACAGCTAGATTAAAGACAGTAGATAAGTACAGGATTTACTGGTCGCATGCAAGAACTTTTTGTATGTAAAAGTAGATGTCCATAAGGAATGCTACAGTTGAGATTTGAATTTAATTTTGTTTTGGAACATGCCAAACCCTGTTCATACACACATGCAGTTCCACCAGTCCAAGCCTTCAGGTCTCAAGACAGAATTAATTCTTAACTCCCTAACTCCAAATCAGGATCCAACACTGATCTGTTGTTCCAGGTCCCCCCACCTGCCTTACTCCTATGGTCCCATGTTTAAAAAGTAAGGCATTGAGATACCTGTCAAAACTGAATTCCCAATTCTCTGTGGTTATTTTGTAACTACACCTTTTGCAAAAATATAGCTCCTAATTAGACTTACAACTAAATGGTATGCATGTGTGGCCAATGTTGTTCCCTCCTCTCCTACATACACTGTATGGCACCATGCCTACTGGTATTCATTCACAAGAGCAGCTCCCTCCACCACCTTAATTAGAAATATCCGCCAAAGCCCCAGGCAGCAATCCTTCCCTTCTGCCCAAAGGCTAGATATGTACCACTCTGGGGTGGCTAACTCCTGAACAAAAGAGCTACACTACTATGTTACAGACAATATTGTAAATTATGAGGGGAAATCTTGCTAATGCTTGCCTTGATCTCCTTTTACCAGTCCTCATCCAGCCTCCCTCTCCTAGGCACCACTCACGCCTTTCTCCCTGTTCCCAGCGTCCACAGGAGCCCTCTCCAGGCCCTCTCCAGGCCCTCTCCCTGCCATCCTCATCCAGCCTCAATATTCTGCTCCTCCTCCACCTCCTTGTCCCAGTGGCTAACCTCCCGTCCCCAGACCAATTCTTGCTAAGCATGCCAGGTACTGGTCAGGTATCTGCCCTTCCTTCCCCATCCACCCTTCTTCCTTGCCTTCCCTCAGTTCCCATCTCAGTCTCCAGGCCCAAACAATTGCAGTCTCCCCCAGCTCCTCCTGAGGTCCCAACTTTCCCCCAACAGCAACTGAGCTCAGGGCTGGACACAGGTATGGGCAAACCAGGACCCGGACAGAAAGGGGGCCCAAAAACGGTAATTTTTTCCCTGTTGTCCAATTATTATTATCATTATCTCTGGCAAACGGGGGCCCGGTACTAAAAGTTTGCCTGGCACAGCCAGGAGTCTAGGTGTGGTGCTGACTGAGCTCAGTCTGCATCAACAGTGTCTCTCTCTGCCTCCCAGTCCTCTCTCCCCTGGCTCCTGTATCCCAGCTACCTTGCTGTGCCAGTCCCAATCTGCAGCCTCAGGGCTAATTTCCTTTCCCTCTCATCAACCCTAGTTCCCATCTTAGAGATCCCTACAAGCATTAATGGCTAAAAGAAGGCAAGCTGCTATGATAAATGAGGTTACAGAAGGGCCTAGAAAGCTGTTTCCTTTGCAAGGAGGGACTGAGCCTCGTGAAGTGCGACGCCAGGAAAAATGACAAAAGGGCAGGAGCTGTTGTGCTCTGGTGGCTGTTTCACTGGCACAAGCTCCATGAGGGAGCCCACATGCTCAAACACAGAGAGGCCCTCCCCAAGGAGGCCCTAGGGATGAGGGAGCTGGATAGCGGTGCTGAACCTCTGGCCTGTAATCCTGCCCATGGGGCCACATCCTCTGGCCCACAGGACTCCCCACATGTCTGGAAATGTGGCGGCAGGGGAGGGAGTGGTGGCAGCATCAATTGCTGTGGCTTCCAGCCCCATGGCAATTAATGCTGCCACCACTCCCTTGGGGCAGATTTCTAGACCTGTGGGGAGCCCCGTGGGCCAGATGACCCGGCCTCACACACCAGACTGCGCCATGCACAGTCACTCTGTGCCCAGCTCCACAGGGCTCGCTTCAGGTGGCCCCGTGGCCTGATCCTGCGCTGAACCCAGCCTGTGCGCCGGCCCCAGGGCTGGAAGGTCGCGCCCCACCAGTGTGGGCTGACGGTGGCCATGTTGAGGAGGCGCCCTGCCTCCAGCTTTCTTGTTCTGCCAAGAGCCCTCGTGCAGCACCCCAGGGGCGTGTGATGGGCTACGCCTGCCTCCCAGGAGAGGTGGCTGCCAACCAGGCTGGGGATGGCAGGAAGCAGCAGATATTGGCCATGGTGCAAGTGCTTCTGGGAAACCGTGGGGGTGGGGGACATGCAGGCACTGCCGGACATCAGGAAGGGCAGAGGCAGCTCCTCGGTCTTGCAACAGGAGCTGGAGTCTTCCCCTGGACCCTGGGCCACACCCCCCACACAGACACTGCATCTCCCACTCATCCCCACCAGGGGAGAGGCGGTTGGCGGGGGCGGGGCTCGGCGAGG